CTCGTCTTCAGAGGAATCTCAACTCTTCTTTGTAGAGACTCAAGGGAGGACCTATTTTTAGGAAAACCCACACCAATTCCTAGTGGTGGACCATTGGCCTTACCGGACCCCCGGAGTGCTAAGTCTGCGGGTGGAGGAACATGAGACGGCTCGCAATCGAAGCTATAACCTCACTGTTGCAGTCCTGAGGTCTCAAAAGGGCTACCGACAACTTGCTAGACACTGGCGCTCGACAATGTGAGAGAGGTACATTATCCCGTTCCTCGTCTCATGGCTGCGATAACACCAGTATTTCTGTTGTCTAGCTTTGGTCATGCAGCATAAGTGGCGCATCCTCCACCCCGGTCCGGTTCTCATGCAGGACGATTGTTCTGGCAGAGTATAACTGTTGGAGGAGCTCAGTGATGCCGAGATCACTGGTGTCCTCAGTTGGGTGGCAGTTCGGCGACTGATATAGTCGGCTAGAGGAAGTATCACGGTGGCACTGCATACGTTGTCATGATTGATGCTAGTGCCAGCTGGTGCCTGGCTGGCTGAGAGTGTCGTAACCATCATACCCATCATACCCTCTCCTGGACTGTGCCAATACACCCAAGCCATAGCTCGCATGCACCATGGACATTCTGCTCTGCCACTATGAGCCACCTTTTCCTAATTTGATTCTCAAGCGCTGCAGATTGCATTCCATACTCAGGATACGAGGCATTTTCACACTCCCTCTTCCACGATCCCATATTGCCTTGTGCCTGCGCGTTAACAACAGAGCACTTGAGCGTTGTGTTATTTCCCAAGAGTCTCCCACATATCATGTACCACCAAGCGCGGAACAGAGTAGTCACGGTCGGTATGCGGTTTTGCTGAAGTCTACTATTCCAGTGCCGACCCTAGCCCATTTGTTCCAGGCACTACCCAAATCGATCTTGCATCACTAATAAAGCTTCGCAATACTTCTTTCAAAACATATGAGTTGTGAAAGAATGCATTGTTTTCCACTCCAGTGCTTCTACTTTTGCAGCAGACGTCATTGTACCATTGAATCATTTGTTCTACTCAACAACTTGAATGGTGAACACTACTGGATTAGATGCCTTGCAAGCATTATGTGCAGTCAGAGTGTTATGAATTCGATGTGGAAATGGCGTCTGGGGTTACGAAGGTGTCCTCCCAAACATCATACATGTGCAAAGCAAAATACTCCTTTTTTGCTGGCGGTTCGTGCTAGTGATTGCTCTCTTATCGTTCAAACATTTTTCAATGACTGGTTAGTATACATTCCAGCGTGCTTAAGGTTAATTCTAAAGCAATCTG